ATATCTTTCGGATCGCTACTGCTGCTTAAAGGCAGCGCCCGCGTTCAAATTTGATGAGTATGCGGCTCAGGTAGTAATAGCAAGGTAGCAAGAAACCTATTAGTGAAGAAAAAAAAAAGAAAACATGCAAAATGCCCTATAAGGAGTTTCATACCGAATAGCGGTTGTACGTGCTTAAGGCGAAGAGAAGGAGTGATTGCACTTGCATTTACCGAACTTCCTTCATACCGTTTTGCGCTATTAATCGTGTTTATATTGTAACAGCTAACAGCTAACTTAGATTCAAACGTGGCAGCCATGAAGGTCGCTTCATGCTGCTTACTAACGATTCAGTTCCTGCTTGCCCAAGGTCAACATGAAATAGTGGAACATTGTTGAAGATGTGACATTTTATTACTATTCTCACAATTCCTGACTCTATTCACAGGAAAATTGTAGGGGAGCGGTGTGAAATGTGAGAATGGAGAGAGTGAGGATGATTGGCTGAGAGGATTGATAATGATTATGAGTGCATAAAAGGTCTGTGTCCTTCTATTCTATAAAGCACTAACTTTCTGTGTCGGATTGTCGGCTCTGTACGTATGTACAAGTGTAAGTATGTATGTATAGTGTATTTGTTGCGGACGGTGGGGCGTGTAGACAGTAGACGAGTTTGGCACGGTGCCAAACCCGTTCTCCACCAGCTGTTAAGCGAGCAAGTGACAAGACTGTATCATGTCGCCCGTATAACTTGTTTCCCAACAACTGTTCATACTGCCTGAAACGCCCCACCGTCCGCAGCGAACTACACCATATGTCCGTCCGCAAAATGCTTCACGGGATTGAATAGGTAAATGAACGGAGAAAACGACCGCTAGCCAATATGGAAAGTGATCTGTGCAGATATATCAGTTTAAACTTTTGATTGTGATACGGTCTCCACTATAAAAGACAGCCGTTCAGTGCACTTCGAGCCATTGCACGAGCTGCTCGCGTGGCAGCTGGACGTGGGCATGTGCAGGGGACAGGGTAAGGAACGGATGGGGCGAGGAGGCGGAGTAGTGTGTGGCGACGGGTGGGGCTGGAGGGGGTGCGGGCGAGAGCGTGTGAGGGAGCGTGAGTTGCTTAGGGCTTGATAGACACACTACGGGTGGAAGAAATTCCTAACAATAAGCCAATAAGATAAGAGGGAGGATCAGCTGCTAGCACAGGTTGCGAAGTATCCATGCCATTGGTATTGAGGTAATGTTTTGAATGTGATAACACCCTGCACTATATAAGACAACCATTCAGTGTACTACGAGCCATTCTACGAGCCGCTCGCGTGGCAGTTCTGTGAATACAAACAGAGAGCATGTTAGGGAAAGTATTGGGTCAGTGGGAGTAAGGTGAGGGTAGTAGGGGTACGATGGGAGAGGGTAGAGCGAAGTGCGTGCTCAAAGAGAAGCACACCGTAACTGTGGATTGAAAAGCATCAGTGAAAGCGATATGATAGAGTGAAGAGGGATCAACCGCTAGCAGAACTGCGAACCAAACGAGCCAGTTGTGTATCAGTTCAAGGTTATGTTTTGGATGCGATAACGCAAGTTATTTTTCTATTCTATAAAGCACTAACTTTGTGTGTCGGTTTGTCGGTCTGTATGTATGTATGTATGTAATTATGTATGTTTGTCCGTCCGCAAAATGCTTCATTATCTCTAGATCGCCGAATTAATACCGCGGATCGCAGAACCATAGAATTTAATTCAGTTCAGTCAATTTCAGGAGGTGACATAGGGGGTGAGAAGGGAACACTACGGTGGGTGAGGAGGTGAGAAGGGAACACTACTGGTGGGTGACAGAACTTACCTTAGCTGATAAGATCCGATAGGAGCTATGAAAGGGAAACTTGGAGATTCATATCGCGGGTCGCAGCAACGGTAGGAGGGCAGTTTCATCAGGCGATATAGTATGTAGGACGGGAGCATCAATGAGTGGTGACAGAAAGTGATAACAACTGATAGGGGCTGTTGGGGAATGTTGGTGTTGTTGTTCAGTCGAAGTACTAGAGCCTTAATACTACATGCATTGGACGCATGTAATGATGTCCTCCATCCCTCCTGCAACTAAAAGGGTGGACTAAGGAGTTCAGAATCGTCACTATCTATTACGACTAGATCAACAGGGCGGAACAGCAACACAATACAATAAAACATTCCTCTCCCTTGTTTCGTCTCATCGCAACTGGCGATTAGGCGAACCGAAGAAGCTGTGAGAAGGCCGACGACGACAAGCGGAGAAGACCTTCGACGATAAGCAGGGAAAGCCTAACGACGACAAACAAGAAGACCGACGACAACGAGCAAGAAGACCGACGATGACGGAAGTCAAGGCCGAGTCTGGAGGCAGCACCATTGGGAGGCCCTCGACGTTAGATCCCGGTACAGATGTGCATCGGGGTCGGGGAACCATATATGTGTGTCCCCGAGGGGTCGTGGAGAACCTGGTGGAAGCTGTTCTCCAACTTCCTCGTACTGAGGAAGGTGACAGAAGAAAGGGACCAGAGGCTGATTTTCTTGCAGGAAGCTGGGCAACGCAGAAAGCAGCGAATACGTGTAGTTTCGAAGAAATTGAGAACCACCGGGATGTGGTCCGGATGCCCTTCATTAGAGGACTGCTCTTGATACAAGGAGGCGACTGCTGGCAAAGGAGGACTCAACTTCAAAAGAAACCTGGAACAAGCAGAAGCGTTTGAGCGTGTTGGAGTAAACGCTCCGCATTTGAAGGAAGGTCCCCAAGCAGTAGGGATAGCTGAGGTAAGAATGCGTAACCGGCAACCGGCTCGGCGCACGCAAACAGTAGATCAAAAGGGGAAATCGAGCAAGGGCCCAGCTCGAAGGGATTTGAGATGTAGGGTTTGCGGGGCGCTAGGTCATGCCGGTTACGAGTGTTTCAGGAAACAAAGTGCATACTGTAAGGTATGCAAGAAGAAAGGCCACCTGCCAGCGACGTGTTGGAAGAGCGCGAGGGTAGGCCGTAAAGTCTCCCGCCAGGTTCACTGGTGCGAGGAGCCCGCCGGAAGCTCCGACAGTGGTGAGGAGATGGTAAGTCAAGGCGTGAATACAGTAGTAGTATCACGCATACCCCACTGTCGTAGAGCTGATTGCAAGAATCCGGCGCGATCGAGCAGTCCAAGCAGGGTAGAGGACAGCCAGCGGAAGAAATATGGTGTTCTCCCGAACGTAACGGAACTTACAGGAAAGTGGCGACAAGTAGTGTTCTCCTGGACAGCGAGAGAACTTGCGGCAATAGCCGGAAGAGGTCGGCCGCCAGTAGAAACATGGTCAATAAAAATGAGGAATACCATGATAAGGAAGTGACTGATAGGAGTACGGTGAATGGTGCATGTGGAGTAGACCGGTTGCCAGTTGAACCAGACAATGGTGGAGATGGGAGTGAAAGGGAAGATTCTTTCTGAAGTGAATACTGGCGCGTCACTATCTATTATAGACGAGAAGACGTGGCACATGTTAGGCCGGCCGCAGTTAAGTAAAGCGGAGGATAGCAGCCACGGCTTTTGATAATAATCGGATCAAGTTCCAAGGGAAGTACCAATCCACCGGTCGAGTTCGCCGGAATGAGGCGTCGGGGTCTACATGTCTTTAAGGAGGCGAGTCACTCCTTATGTGGAAGAGACATGATTAGGAAACTTCGAATAGATTGTGGACCACATTATGGGAAGGTTCACGAGGTAAAACGGATGCCCCAAGTAGAAATCAAAAGAGAAATAGTGCGTATATTGGGTAAAAACAAAAAGCTATTTCAAGAAGGTTTGTGCAGATCTACAACTGCACGAGCAGAGCTCAAGTTCAAGGGCGAAGTGGTAACGCCTATTTTCCAGAGCTAGGCTAGTGCCTTTCCCTCTGACAAGGGAATGGTTTGAACTTCCCATGGAACTTTGAATGGAGACCTAGGTACATCGATAGAGTCTCGAATGCTGATTACGAATATGCAGATTAAAAGTGCTACGGGGACCTCCCAGACGAGTTCTGGGCGGTCAAAGTTTGCGAAAACTCGGTTTTGGCTCGTAAGCGCTGCTGATCGGTCACGGGCAGTGCCACCGTGGCCTAGTGGTAACGGTCTCGCTTCAAAGCCAAATGCTCGTGGGTTTGCATCCCGTTGGCGCGAAATTTTTGCTTCGTCTCCTATAAAAGCTTTCACTCTAATTTTCGAAATTCCTCCGAGTTTACGGCCCAGCAGAGCAAGTAGATCAAGTATATGACGCGGTCGATCGAGTATTGATTGATAACTATCTGTCCTCAGAGACTCATCTTATCATCCACAGCTCGAAGTTTTGGCCAGAACTACCCTGCAAACTCCTGGGGTAGTTTGCCCCCCCCCGCTGAATAACGATATTATATTCATTCGGCGAAAAAAGCACCTTTGTGCTTTTGTGGTCATCAATGAAACGAGATTAACCGATCGTTTTTCCGCGTCAAAGCGATGTGCCTGATCCGTCTCAAAAGCGGGTCAAAATACCGACCGCAAACGAGTTTCAGGCCGAAGCTGTGCATTGCTGGCCAAAGCTTCGATGTGGGATGGGTTAATGATTGAGAATCAGATTATTATCAATTCAATACTCAATGATCGAGTCAGGCATACTTAGATGCTAATTGCGTGCTGCTGGCGTAAAAACAGCCGAAGAATTTAGAATGATTAGAGTGAAAGCTTTTCATATGAGACGAAGCAAAAATTTTGCGGCCCGTGGATGGTAAGACACTATGAGCATTTTCATTTTAAAGCGAGGAGCCATTACCACTTAGGTAGCGGTGGCACTGCCCAGTGACCGATCAGCAGCGCTTACGCGACGAAACCGAGATTTCACGAACTTTGACCGCCCAGAACTAGTTTGGGAGGTCCCCGTAGCATTTAATCTCCCTATTCGTAATCAGCATTCGAGACTCTGTCGATGTATCTAGGTCTCCATTCAAAGTTCCATGGGAAGTTCAAACCATCCCCTTGTGAGGCCTAAAGCAGAGGCGAAGTTGAAAGAGATGGTGCGAAATGGAATAATAAGAAGGGTGGAGCATAACGAATGGGTAACAACACTAGTTGCCCCCAAACCTGGTGGAAAAATACGAATCTGTGGCGATTATAAAGGTCACAATGAACCCGCAACTAGATATTAATCAGTATCCCTTGCCCTAAGCCAGATGATTTGTTTCACATGCTACATGGCGGAAAAAATTCTTCAAGATGGGTCTCTCGGAAGCGTATATGCAGGTGGACCTGGAAGAAAGCTCAAGGAATTATACTACGATTAATACGCATAAGGGATTGTTCGAGTATACGCGGATTCCATTTGGAATCGCGTCAGCGCCAGCAATCTTCCAGCGAATAATGGAAGAGACGCTGGTGGGAATAGAGGGAGTACTGATCTATCTGGACGACATCACGATTACAGGTCCAGATGATGAAACGCACTTAGAAAGACTGGAAAAGTCCTGAATAGATTGAATGAGGCGGGATTTCGCCTCAAGAGAGAGAAGTGTGAATTTTTCAAAGAGGAGATGGAATTTTAGGCCATGTGGTCGATGAAAGGGGCATCAGACCATCTCCAAATAAGCCGAAGGTAATACTAAACATGTTTGGAAGAATTGGAATCTTACCCAGCACGGTACAATATTATGGGAAATTCGTTCCGAGATTGGCGACACTGGCAGCACTTCCAAAAGGTCTTCGGAGAAAAAATGCACCGTGGAAATGGGGTGCACAGAAGAAAGCAGCTTCCAGTCAGATACATGAAAAGCTAACGGGGGGATACATTAGCGCATTACAGTCCAGAGATTCCGGTAGAATCAGCTGCCGATGCTTCAGAATATGGTATTGGTGCCGTATTATACCATAGGTACGAAGATGGTACCGAAAAAGTTATTGCGTTCGCATCGCTTCCTTGACGAAACAGGAGCGCAATTACGCCCAAGAGAGGCGTTGGGCATAGTATACGGTGTTGAAAAATTCAATCAGTTTCTCCATGGTCGCCGTTTCACCCTCTTAACGGATCATCAGCCGTTAGTGAGGATTTTGGTCCCTAAACAAGGGCTGCCGGTAATAGCAGCAAAGAGGCTGCACAGATGGGCGTTAAGACTCATGTTGTACTCGTTTGAAATAGTTATAGGAAGACTACCGATTTTGGTAATGATAACGGATTGTCGAGATTACCTGATCCAAGAGAGATGCCCAGCTCTGAAATGGTAGTAAACGAATTGCACGCGCAGCAGATAGCAGAATAAGCGATGGAAAATCTGCCTGTAGTAGAGGTGGGAGTAGAGAAAGCCACGAAAGAGGACCGTTTGCTGCAGATTGCAGTTAATTATATGCAGAAGGGTTGGCCAATGAAAGTAAAGGATGATAAGCTGAAGCCGTACGCGGTTAAGAGGATGGCTTCTGTCACTACATAATGGGTGCTTATTATGGGGAAATAGGGTGGTTATCCCCAAGAAGTTTCAGTCAGTAGTGTTAAAAATGCTGCACAATAGCCACTGGGGAAGAATAGGATGATCAGCCTGGCACGAACCAAGATATGGTTCCCAGGCATGGATAGAGCGGTGGAAGAAATGGCAAAGAAATGCAGCACATGTGCAGTGATGGGTAGAGATCCGGTGAAGATACCTCTACACCATGGGAGGAGCCGAAGGAAGTCTGGAGGCACACATCGATTTTCGAGACGAGAGGGGGCTAAAATGGCTGATCCTGGTGGATGCTAAGTCCAAGTGGCCGGAGGTAGCCAAAATGGGCACCACCACAGCCGAGAAAACGATAATGGTGCTGAAGGAGGTTTCAGCAGGAATGGGTTGCCGGAGCAGTTGGTTTCCGACAACGGACCCCCTTCACTTCGGCGGAATTTCGTGAATACTGCTGTTAAAGGTGATTCAGCAGGTATTCGCACCGCCGCACCATCCTAACTGAAATGGGGAAGCTGAACGTTTCGGTGCAAACGTTCAAAAACACTCCGTATAAAGGGTTACGATCTAACAAAAGCTTGGAGAACGCGGTATTGGATCTTGTATTCGAATAAAGGGTCACACTCCATGAAGCAATGGGACAGGCACCCGCGGAAATGCTGATGGGAAGGAATTTGAGAACGACATTGGGAATTTGAGGACTATCGGGTCCTCAGATAGATATAGGGAAAATATTGATAAGAATTATGATCGAGCAAAAGAAAAGGAAATTTAATGTCGGACAAGAGGAATTCATTTCGAATTGCACCGGGTCAAGGGACCTGTGGATACCTGGAGTTGTGTTCAAAATTTCAGACTCCAGCACCTATGATGTTCATTTCGGCAGTGAGAAAAACCCATGCGGATCAGATGAAAGAAAGGGTGATGGCCAGTGGAGTTGGTAGACTGAGGGATTGATTAGAGAAACGGGCACTGGGGAGAGTTCGTGTACAAACTAGAGAACCTACTAAAGCTACCGCTGCGACGATATCACAAGAAGCGGCAGGCTACCGCTAGAATGAAAGGGTTTCAGGAAATAAAAAGCGCAGGAATTAATTTCTTCAAACTCTGCGCATACAGATCAACACGGACCTGCATTGTAGAATATACTATACAAATTAAAAACAAAAGTTCTCACCTGTGGAGCCCAAAACAGAAGTTGTATGGGTGTGGTACCTTTTCAGTTTATTCGTCTACCAACTTACCGCGGCAGCAGGGGAGACGGGACAAGCCCTTTACTCGCGTCGCGGTGCATCAACCGTTACAGCAGGCCGTGCCCCCTGGCCTCCAGAGTTGAGGGTGTCGAGTTGGGCGGGAAGTTCCCGTGATGGCTGCTATGCCCGTGCTGCCGGGGGGTCCAGCTCCGCCGTCACGAGGAAGAAGGCGCCGTCGGCAGCCCGCGAGTAAAGGGCATAGTGAAACGACGGTGAAAAAGTTCACGGCGTGAGTGGCAGTGTGACACCCGTCGATGGCCGAAGTAGGTAGTCGTGATCGATCGAAGAAAGCGGAGGCGCCCGTGATGCTACCGGGGAGGGAGAAAGCCGAAGGCATAGCAAGGATTGGGTCCGACGAGCTATCGAGCGCCGCGTCGTCTACGAAGCCGCGAAGAAGCCTTTAACTACAGGGGGCCCAAAAAAAGTCACTTTGCTTCAATTGACTTTCGAGGCGCTATAAGTTACACTATAATATCTGATCGGACATTTCTACCACCATATTAAAGAGCATATTAAATTCCCCCCACAAATCCTATCCGCAGCCTCATCGTGGCGTAGGGGTTCCGTGGAACGGTTTTTGCGCTCGTTTCGCAAAAACACGTACCAATGTCGGAGGGTGCCCACGCCTGCAGGAGCCTGGCGAGCTACGCGTGGTCTAATATTTCTTCCTCGCGCCGAAAACGCGTAACAACTAGGAGGCCTCATTGCGCGCTGAAGCTGAGTGCGAACCACCGATCAGGGCGACTCGGCTGGGCACCGCTCGGCACGAGGTCGCTCAAAATCCAACGGGCCCAACGGAGATCTTAAGTCGCTCAAGGGATTAGCGATGCCGCAGATCCTGTACTCTTACAACGCGCGCGGACGCTTGGCATCGGAGCTCACCATCGAAGATCCTGATGTTGCAAGCCAGGAAAGATCAGCTACGACACCTCGGAGTGAATCATCGGACCTGACGCGAGACTAGACGGAGGCCATCTGCCCGGCTACACGGCGTGCTACGACGTTTGGAGAAGAATGTTCCTCGGATATGCGACAGGCAAAGGCGTTGGCAGGGTGCGGCGTCCTCGGTCAAGCGCAACCACCGCACACGCTGGCCATGAACATCCGAGATCCGTACGAACAGTCCCCGGAATGCGGTTGTTTGCGATTGAGCAGACGTGGTTACAACTTCAGCTTTTGAACAATCTTCCGTCGCTACGCACAACATCAAGCTACGACGAGGATGAGCTCGAAGCGTTCTATATGGAATTGGAGAAGTTCTACAAGGAAATCATACCTTCTTCAAGGTCATCGTCGGTGATTTCAACGCTAAGATCGGACCAAGAAGATCGGCTGGCAGAACTTCACACTCGGAACGCCCCCCCGAGTGCAAGAGCGAGAGCGTGAAGGCCTGTCTGGCGTCTTAACCATAGTCGACCGCATACCATCCATGGCTAACCTGCAAGTTACAGAAGCCCTACTCTCTCCACGCTGGACATGGAAGTCATCCCTGCGGTGACAATTCACTAACAGATCGACATGGCCACCACCCCCACTCAGTCTGCAATCGATAGGGTTTTGCCTGACCCGATGTCGCTGTGTGTCCCTAGTTCCTAACCGGGATCCGACCCAATCCACGCATCTTCGCGCAAGATTCCGCTTTTCGATGCGAGGAGAGAGAGCCGCAAAGTTCAAGAAGCGAAGCCCAAAGACCTTCATCAACTGGGATCACTTCACTTCTCTCGCTGGGCTCTGGGAGGATTCTGTCATCGACAACATCGACGAGGAATACGAACGGCTTGTTGCACACATTCCTTCACGACTGCTTCCACAGGAAAGTCAGGAGGGTTCCCAACAGGTAACCAAGAACGTCTATCTACACTGGAAAACTCTCGAGCCTGATTCGCACATACTGTGGAGCCCGCACCGCGAACACGCACGGCATATACCACAAGCCTCGGACGTGCTCGAGCTTGCGATGCTTATGCAGAGAACGATAACAGAAGAAGACCTCAAGGAGAGAAGAGAAGAGCAGCAGTACTGGTGGAAGCCGCAGAGGCTGGGAAGAGCATACGCAACGCCCGCCGCGACTTCGCCAACTGTAAGACCAAGATGACCGCCCTCCGACGTCCGGATGGAACAATCACCGCATCCAGAAGGGCAATGGAGAAGGTCATCCACGACTTCTACTCGGATCTCTTTGACAGCCACGTCCACCTGCAACCATACCGCTTGGAAGCAGGATGGATATGTCGTTCTGCGCAGTTCTCTCTTCCGAATCCGACCGCACCCGACCCACCGCCCACTACGCTCCGCGGTGAAGAATTCGTAGCGGCACCCCGGGTTCCGCGACAGGATCAGACCGCGAAACTATCTGAAGAATCTTCCGCCAGTTCTCGTCAAAACTCTGGCTCGACTCTTCACGCGCTACCTGTCGGAATGCAAGGTACCCACCTCGTGGAAAACCAGCAAGACTGTGTTGCTGTACAAGAAGGGAGACCTGTACGACATTGGCAATTATCGCCCAATCTGCCTGCTGTCTGTAGTCTACAAACTCTTCACACAGAGTGCATCCTCACAGGATTCGAGAACGCTGGAACGAAGGACGCCGTGCGACAAGCAAGCAGGGTTTCGAAGAGGATTCAGCACGATCGATCACATCCACACGGTAACGAAGCTCATCGAAGTATCGCGAGAGTACAAGATGCCGCTATGTCTCACGTTCATCGACTTGAAGAAGGCCTTCGACTCCGTTGAGACAGAAGCGGTTATCGAAGCCCTGGGCAACCAGGGTATTCCTACTCAGTACATCAGGATTCTTCGTGAGCTACAGCAACTTCACGACCAAGATTCACCATTCTACAAGGAGATCATCATTGATGTGAAGAGAGGGGTCCGACAGGGCGACACCATCTCGCCCAAGCTCTTCAGCGCCTCTCTCGAGAACGTCATGCGTCAACTGGAATGGGAGACATGGAGTGAAGATCCGACAGGTCGGCAATACATAGCATCTCCGCATTTGCTGACGGGACAATCCGTCTTGATAACACCAAACATCGAGCAGCGGAACGAATGCTGGCTGAATTCGACTGCGCGTGTGGAAGAATCGGTCTACGGCTGAACCTAACGAAGACGATGTTCATGAGAAACGGATTGGTATCTGATGCCCCATTCACGCTCAACGGAACGACCATCTCTGAATGCTCTAGCTATGTGTACCTAGGTCGTGAAATCAATATGATGAATGACCTAGCTCCAGAGCTGAGCAGGAGGAAGCGAGCGGCTTGGGGAGCCTTCAAGAACATCGAGGGAGTAGCGAAGAAGACGAAGAACACCAAGCTCCGTGCCCACCTCTTCGATTCCGCGGTCCTTCCTGCCTTGACGTACGCCTCAGAGACTTGGACTCTACGAAAGCAGGATGAGCATGCGGTCGGCGTTATTCAACGCGCCATCGAAAGGGCGATGCTCGGAGTTTCCCGCTACACGCAAGTGAGAGAGGGAATCCGGAGCTCCGCACTCCGCCAACGATCGAAGATCAGAGACGCCGCCGCATCTGCCAAGGTTTCGAAAATCAGGTGGGCGGAACGTTATGCCGTTTCGGCGGACGAACGCTCTGGACGCAGAGCAAGTCACACGACTGGCATTCCACGGGGTGTCAAGCATACGCGAGGACGACCGCGGCCTATTTTACCGGATGGGGTCAAAAGACTTCTCCGTGAAAGCTCTGAGCGAACGGAGGGGGCCATGAAAGTTCGGTTGTGTCCGCTCTCGAGGCGGAGAGCAGTTTATTGGCAACTCTTGCGTTGCAGGGGACGAATAGAGACGTTTTACTGGCGCCGCTCGACGCGAACTCGATGATCAACGGAGGGCACAAGGTGTTTAAAGAGCATATTAAATACTATTATGACACTCCGCCACAGCCTTCTGGAGGAGCGCCATCGAGAGATTCTGGCACGCAACCGCGATGTGGTCCCTGAGATCAGCGAGATGGTCGATTTCTCCGCCACCGTAGACCACCCTATTGAACTCCGCTCGAACGGGTAATTGAGGGGATTCAGGTCAGGTGACCTACTTAGATATTCCATCTTCTTTAGGTACTCAGCCCCCTTCCATTCCAGGTAGGCGAGAGTTTCTCCAACGCCCTTCGATTCCACGTAGTGGCACCCAATGCTGTAGCAGTACAAAGTTTCCAAGAAGGTACGGGCGACGACATGTGGAGAAGATATTCTTCTTGAGTTGGTCGATGTAACCGCCAGCGCTCAGCTCGGGGTCCACGAAGAAAATATTGGTCTTTCCATTCCAGGTGCGTCCGGTCCATATACCATCAACCCGCGCCTTGGCGACTGCCGTGAAGATGATGTCCTAGACCGTAGCGACGTTGTCGGAGCTGCTCGATGTTGGAGGTCTTCCAGATTGAGAGTACTGGTCTCCAGGTAGCTACCCATGGGTGACTCCACACTAGAAGTTTTCGCAGCTGTTTGGAGGTGACATGAATTCCAAAGGTCTTCTCCAGTCAGGCTGCGACTGGAGATGACCTCATATTTTGGTGTACATGAAGGTGATGGGCGAGGGCCAGCTCCTGCTTATCGAGGAACATCTTGGGTATCTTCCGCCCTCCTACTAGTCTGTATTCACGTCTTTCTTTTCCGCTCTAGCGTGCGAAGAACTTTGCTGATATGTGACTCGGTCGAAGTGCCTTTTTTGGCCACCGCTAGAAGCAAAAGTAGAAGCAGAAGAGCCGGGCTGGGAGGCCCGAGACGTCGTCTGTGTAAGAGGGGACTGCGAACTAAGAGTTACGATGATTCGGTAAAGAATTGTGTTGGTAATGTGTTACTGAAGCAAGACAGACACGTAGTGGATTGCAATGCTCGTGGTCCACTCGTGATCCAGAGAGGAGAGCCGCTCTCCAGGAACCTGGAGTGACCGGATGGTCACTAGGGGGGAGGTGTAGGGGAGCGGTGTAGAATGTGAGAATGGAGAGAGTGAGGACTATTGGTTGAGAGGATTGATAATGATTTATAAAGTGCATAAAAGACTTGTTATGGTGTGATAAATCTTTCCTCTCCCTGTGTTTTGTCTCATCGCAACTCAAATGAAGTGAACAAAACACGTAATCAAAAAACCATTAACAAAGAAACATCGAAGCTAACGTACTTTAGCGTGGACACACGGTCGCGCAATATATCTGCTGGACGAGACGATATAAAGGAGCAGCGAAGAAAGAAAGAGGCTACGATCATGGCCCGTAATCTTTTGAAGGTGATGCTTTCAGCTGCTTGTTGAAAATGTGCCTCAGAACAAACGTAGAGTAATTAGGAGAAGCACTGTGACTGTGTGACTGAAACCACCACTAATATATAAACTCGGGCTCCTTACGGGATAAGGATGCTGTCGAGTTGCGTGTAACGGTGTTCCCGAAACGGAAAATGGAAGAGTGGATGCGAAAGTTCAAAGAAGAGGAGGGGAAAATTTGTGTCAACAAGGGTCCCTCAATGATGATCCTGCCCATGAAAAGATTGACCCCGCTAAACAACGTTAGCACTAACATATCTTTTTTATATCCTAAACAACGTTAGCACTAACATATCTTTTTTTATATGCAAAGCAGATGTGAAAAGATGAAGGGGACCACGCTCCTGAAAAAATGTAGAAAAATGTTGGCTATTAATCTACGAACTCAACTAGTATAATTCGTAGCTTATTCATACATCAAAGACGTCGCTCGCATTCTTATTCAGTAGAAGAGCAATCTGAAAACGGAAGTAACTATCAAAGAAATCAAAGAATCAAAGTGTGTTTGGAGATATGGCTCAGCAAGACCTTTCTGCAGTGGTTAACGCTTTGGCCGCATTGGAGCGGGCATATCAGAACTTCTAAGCAGTCGAACCGGAGCACATACTCTTCCTTGAGTCCAGGTTACGTAGCGAGGTACTCCACGAGTACCTCGCTGTGTAACTCCACGAGTACCTCGCTGTGTGTGATGTTCGTAACTTCACGCCCTACATGAGGCTGGCTCCGTCATAATTTAAGAATCTCTACGAGCGCATCGCTAGTTCTCTGCTTCACCGGGCTTCTCACACATCGCCCATCTGCGGAGGCCAGCGACTGTTTATTATGAGGTGATGGTTTGGTTCAGTGGAACATCGCTTCATCTTGAACTTTACGTCTAAAGTTCAAGATTTGTTGGCCACGGATATGAGTTCCGCTCCTTAGCCAAAGACGAACTTTGTGAAGTCAACAACCAGTCAGATTGTTTACGAAGTTGCGGACGCGATAAGGAACGGTGATAACTTTTACGAAGGAACACTATCTCACACTGTTCTAAATCACTGTCTATGAATTCTTTTTGCGGAGCCCTTCCCACCATTCACAAGGGAAGATCTCGAGGAAGTGGCCATAAAAACCCAACAGCGCTATGACTACCCACGCGCAGTAGGGTTTATGGATGGAAAACACATTGGTATGAAGGTAGGAAACAATATCACTGATTGCATGAAGATCACTGCGCAATAAATTCAAGCAATGCAGAAGCCGGCTCACTCCTGCAGCACTTACTTCAATTATAAGAAAAATTTTTCCATCATCCTACTCGCTTTGGTAGACTGCCACTACCGAATTCTAGCCTTCGACGTGGGGACGCCAGGGCGAGTAAGAGACGCTGGAGTTTTCAACAACTAAAACATAAAGGTGGGATGAAGAGACACGGGAGCTCCACTTTCTTTCGTAGTTGCAGTTAAGGCGTTTCTTCGAAAGAGTGTAGCACCACATTTAGTGGATTGCGTGTTCGGACAAGAGCACCGTTATATGCGGCCGTGCATATAACCTGGCAAAACTTAGCGGGTCAAGAACCAGCTTGATAATGCCTGTGTTTGAAAGATGCTGAATAATCCACTGAAATGATAGGACCGACGAGGATCTTTAGAGCGCACGTTACGCGCATTTTGAGCCTAACGGGTTACAGTATACAATACAACAGTACAATACATCGCAAGGTATGAGCGCAGCCATAGCAGTATATTTGGTTTGACGATAGTAAATCTAGGACATGATTTACAGGTCGAGTTCTTCCAAGATGTCGAGCAACTACAAAACCACGGAATCGTATGTACAGTTTGCTTGAGATAGAACATTTTTATGAGACGTCCGCTCCAAGCAAATGGTTGTAAATAATTGCGTTTTGATTACTATCAACACTCAGAACATGGCCGATATCAAAAAACTGCAAACCGTCGGCATTTGCACTGTGAAGGGCGTGATGATGACAACCAAGAAACGATTAGCAGAAGTGAAAGGGCTCTCCGAGGCAAAAGTGGATAAAATTAAGGAAGCCGCATGCAAGATACTGGTAGGTTCTCGGGTCAAGCACGTGGTCGCTTCTCTTCCCGTTTTTCTTCTGTACAAGTTTAAATAAGAATTTCCATGTTTCAGAAAAATGGATTCATAACTGCTTTGGAAGTTTGCGCTCGACGTAAGCAGTGTTTCAAAATTTCGACGGGAAGTTCTGAATTCGACAAATTGCTTGGTGGTGGTATTGAGAGCCAGAGTATCACTGAGGTTTTTGGAGAGTTCCGCACGGGAAAAACACAGCTATCTCATACATTGTGTGGTGAGTTCACAGATTACTCATGAGCCGCACTATATTTTTCTTCTGGGTCTGGGTTTGCGTTTATATTTCTTTACTTGTCAAATATTATTAGGTTGGCGGAAAAGTTCTGCCACATTTTTTTTTAAATTGGGCTTTCTTTTTATAGAGAGGCGTACAAGATCAAAATTATACAGCAATGTTATTGCGGGATCCTTGCCAGTTTTTGAGCACTTCGTGGATGCCATCGCTTCACAATGCAGGCCGGCGCGACGCAAAGTTGGACATCATCTCAACTTTGACTTGGGCTCGGTCGTGGAGGTTTTC